CATCTGCACTTTAGCGAGTTCTTGCCCCATGATAAATTTTACTTATGCCTCTGCGAAATATTTAATGCTAAGCTTGCCTCCGGATTTCTGGGGTCCCTCAGATTGTCCCTTGTGCCCCAGAACAGGGAGAGGGTCTCGTGATGAAATCATTTATGCCCCTGCAAAGTTTTTAATTCTAAACTTACCTTTGTAGGTCCAGGGGTCCCTCAGATTGTCCCTTGTGCCGTGCCCCGCGTTAGGCACCATTTGCTCTGACCAGCAGAGACAGTAACGTGGATAGGGAGAGGGTCTGGGGATGAAGCACCAACAGGAGACCAGTGATGGTAGATGTCTCTGCGAAGTCTCTATTGCTCCTTCACCTCTCCTTATATACTCTTCCCCCCCATCCTAATTTAGCCAGGATATTGGATACAGATGAGTCCAATTAGTCTAGGTGTTTTTAGCCACAAGCCCAGTTCCTGTTCCTGCCCAGACCAGCGAGCGCTAATCAACTCCTTAGCCCACAACACCAGGGTGGGCACAAGGAAGCATGGGTAAAATCCTTAAGACAGGAATGTGTTTCATGTAAAAACCTGTAGCTGAGGCCTGTATGGCTGAAGTGCTGAGAGCAAAAGAAAAAGACAGTGATGCGGTTAAGAGCAGCAATAGGATTGCACACAGTTCAGGACTTTGCCTTTGCTCTGAGTCCTTTATCAGGACTTTGCCTTTTGCACTGAGGTTTGGAGCAGATGAGAACAATTATCTGAGCAACAATTATCTGACATCATTTGGGTGGCTTTTGCCATAGTCCAGGAAACACGTGGTGGTAAGTTCAACTAAATGCAAAGTGGAAATGTAACAGAAATTTTGCTGGGGCATTGGGAGCTGGGGCAGAAACCTGGGGCATGGACAGCCAAGCTACTATGCTGTAACACATGCCATGGGTGAGATTATATATTATCATCATCATGGAATTAGCTGGAAATCTGAACTCGGCCTTCATGTATTCTCAGTTGTTGCAAAGTCAGTGCCCTGTGCTCATAGCACCCTATTCCATCAGCTCTCCCCGCCAAAAGCTGAGGATTTCTGAAACCTGCAATTCCTCATGGAAGCTTTCTCAGCAGTGCATTTTTATAACAAGAAAATTTAATGGATTCTGAACACAGGTATATGGTTATTTTGTGTTAACTGCATTAAGATTTGCTCTATTCTTCCTGAATTCTCAGCCCACAAGAGAATTCTTACTGTGAAGTCTCATTTGATGTTGTTGGCAGCTGGAATCACTTGCAGAGGTTCTTACCCTATGACTAGCCTGGAGTTGAACGGCTTTCCAATGCATGTTTAATGTGAATGCTCTGGCTGGGAAAAAAAGGAACACTTCTTGACTATATGTGTCATGGAGCGGGGTAAATTCATTTATGCTTTTTTTGGCATGACTGAAACTATATTAATATTGGTGTGACAAATAATAGGTACTCAAACTTGGCTTTTGAAAGATTTCATTCATTATGTTTTGCTTCATTAAGCCTAATGTACCTTGATTGTTCTTGCTTGTGTGACAAGAGCAAATGCCAAAGATCTGTCTACAAAAGTTCCATGAGGTTGATAAGCTTTCAGGTTTCTGCCCTTGTTTGGTTTTATGACTTGAATCCATGTCACTAGGTGAATTTGTTGCTTCATTGTTTAATTGATGATTAATTAAGTCTCACTAGCAACATTCTCATCCCTGGAGAATCAATAAGAAACAAATGGGAATGTGAATTCCTTTAAGTGACTGTGATAGCCTTCATTCTGCTACGGATGAGAGAACTTACGAGATATAGCTCTTTGTATTTCTGATGGTACTTTTTATAGTTTGCTTTGTAATTGTGCATGTCCTATCTGTTTCACTGGGCTGTCAGCTTAATGGAATTAGAATTGTCAAGTTCATCTTTTTTGGGCCCTTATAAATATTCAGTATAAGCATAATTAAATTATTTCACCTGGGCTATCCAAAACTCAGGTCTGGACCTGATGCAGGTTGGACTTCAGGCACTCACAAGCAAGAAGCGATGCATGTGGAGTTGGATAGAGTTTTAATTTAAATCTTACATCTTTATTTCTAAATTGCCAACAATTGAGCAGATTTTAATTTCTCTGTAAAACAGAGGATACTTCTTTCCGTCACAGGATTAATGAGGTAGCCCATATAAACATATTGACAGCAATGTCTGGCGTGAAGGAATTGTTTGCTATGCGCTAGGTGAAGGAATGAGTGGTTCCCACTTATCCGAGATAACTTTGATATGTAAGTTGCATTTAGAATGAAACCAATGAAATGATTTTTATTAAAAAATAAACTTAAGTTTACTGACTAGAAACCTGCATCCTTTTGGAAGGCAGTATTTTGCTGTGTGAGTTTTACTGTCAAAATGTATTGCCTGATAACTGGTTTCTGTAAGTTAAGCCTTTTCAAGACCGAGACCCATCTGCTAAATTTGAGCATTGGCCAACTCAGAGACTGCTTATATAAATGGGCCATAAAGATGTATTTCTAAACATTTCTAAATACTGAATATTTTAATATTAATTAACTAAAAATCATCTGAGTTTGTAGTTCATCATCCACAGCCATTATTTTAACTATAAAAATATTTTGTTTATTGCTTTTTTCTTATCTCATTATAAACTCATTATTTCTTTGTCACACAATTTTTCCATTTGTCACCATGTTTCAGCTACATGATAGAGCATTGTTCATTCATTTGAATAATGCTTATTAGTCCTCATTTAGACCAAATTCTGTTCTGCATATTGAAGGCATAGTGTTGACTAAGACGGACAAGGGAGGGAAGATATATGCACAGACACCAGGAAGGACGGGGAGGGTGAGGGTGTTGGTGCTGCTTAGAATTTACGGCTGTTAGAAACCTGGATGAAGTAGGGGAATCAGCCGTATGGATTTCTGGAGATGAGTGTTTCACGTGGAATGAGGATTGAGTATCCATTTCATGTGGAGAATCAACGGTGGCAAAAGTGTGATAAGAGTCGCTGAAGGGATAGCAGTTAAGACAGAAAGGAGAGTGGAGAGCCGTGGAGCAGTTCTGTACAGATGTCTGAAGGCAGAGAGCGATGGCGTTTTCTGGCGGGCTGGATGCGGAGTCTGAGAGGTGGCAGTCGAGTCAGGGTAAATGACAGTACTCTTTACTGCAATGAGAGTCTGGGGGAGGAATATTTCTTTTCCTCAGGAGAAATAGTTGGAGCTCTGTTTAGTATGTCTTTTGAAATGGAAATATTTTTACTTAGCCTTCTGGATCCTAAGTCTAGAAGAATTCAGGGAGATGTCAGGACTACAAATGACAGTTTGGGAGTCATTAGCAAGAAGTTGGACCTAATGAGATGGAGCTGGAAGAGAGCAACTATGAAGAGAATAAGTAAGAGTTCCAGTCATTAGCCCAGGGGAACACCAATACTTTATCACTTCCTAAAGTCATGAATAAAAATGTAAGATTCAGCAAAGAAAATTGTAGAGTTAAGCATTAAGGTAAAAGTATATCTGTATGTGTGTCTAAGAAACTAAGTATGGGAAGTCTTTCAAGGAAGAAGGAAGAATCAACTGCATAAAATGTTGAAATGTTAAATAATGGGCTGGTGCTATGGCGGAGTAAGTCCAACTTCAACCTGTGGTTCCAGCAACCCATAGGGGCACAGCTTTGAGTTCCGGCTGCTGTCCTTTTGATCTAGCTCCCTGCTGATTTGCCTGGGAAAGCAGTGGAAAATGGCCCAAGTCTTTGGATTCCTGAACCCATGTGTGAAACTTTGAAGAAGCGCCTGGCATCGGACTGGCCCCATTAAGCCATTGCTGCTGCTTGGGGAATGAATCAATGGATGGAAGATCTCTTTTTCTCTCTCCTTTTCTCTCTTTAAATCTTTCAATTAAAAAAAAAACTTAAAAAAGAGAGAAACATGTAAAATGAGGGCTGAGACCTCCCTATTGGATTTGGCAATATAGTGGTTATTGGTGACTTCTTTTATTTAGTGAAGTTAGTTTTAAATGAGATTAAGAAGTGAAGATAAGGGAGACATCAAGCATAGTTAATTTCAAGCAATTTCGCCCCAAATTTGACCCTAGTAATAGAGTTACAGCTGAAACAGAGGAGATAGCACCAGGGAAGGTTTTGCAATGTTAGTATGTTATCATCTTCAAATCTCAAAAAAAATCTATGGGGTATTTGAGACAGCATTTGCGTGCTTATGGGAAGATTTAGTAGGGACACAGAGATGCGTGAGTAGGGGAGAGTTTTTAGAATGCTGCTTTTGAGAAGTCAAGAGAAAATAGGAAGCAGTGCATAAGGAAGGGAGTTCAACAGGTGGAGGAGACGGAGCTGGGAGCAAGCAGGGAGATTGTTTTTCAGTGAAATAAGAAATCAGGTCAGCTGGAAAAGGGATCTGTGGGTTTGGAGATTTGAAGGAGGAAGAAAAGTTAAACAAAAAAGCAAAAAAGAAAAAAAAATAGTCACATTGAAGAATAGCAGCTGTCTGAGAAGAGCTGAGTACCCATTTCAAATAGTATACTGCCTGACTGTGGGTTTTTTTCCCATCCACATTTGATTATTTAGATAAACATGTAGGATGGATGAAGAACTAGAAGTAACAGAGTTGAGATTTTCCCAGGAAAGCTTCGCAGAAGGCCGGAGCACATGAGGATGATTATGAAGTGACCGTGGAATCTGAGCTTGGTTTTCAGGGAGCTAATGCAGAGTAGAAACGCCTTAGAAATGGAGCACAGGTCTCAGTGGGTGGAATAATTGGTGGAGAGGTGGAGTGCTTGCAGGAGGGTAGTAGAGAGGGGAACATAATGGTCATAGAATGGGGTGGTGGTAACTGTGGTTTAAAAGGTGTGGCAAACGAAGCCATGCATGACTGAGTTTGAACAGAGGATTAGCTCTTGGGAGACAAGGAAGTCAAGGAACTGAAGCGTGCTACCACAGCTAACAAAGTTGTCTCCTTTCTCCTACCTGTTTCATCTCCTTCCTCCCCAGGATGAGGTTCGGGGCAAAAAATTACTGATGCTTCTCCCTGATGAAGAAAAGAATGAAGTCTACCAGAAGATAACTCTCAGACAACCCTTTTCAAACTCAGGTACATAAAAAGAAAGTCCTTGGGTTTTAAGAGACAAGAGGCAATCAGTAAAGAAAGTTCATAATATCAAACATTATTGTGTTAGAAAATCTCTCCTCCACTAAATCTTGTTTCTTTCATCCACAAACCCCAGTCATTCAGTAAATGCATGAGATTAGTAGTATAAAAATAGGGGAGTTTGTGCATAAGCCATCTGCTTGTGCCTTACCCTGCATATACAGTATAAACAGCCATGTAGGTACTAACATTCATGCAAAGAAAACACTTGAAACGTGATGTAAGACATGTCATATGAAATAATACAATAGAATATGGGAAAGAGAAAATAGAAACTTGTTTTTTGTATGTTCTCCTTGCAGTAGGAAGACATGTGGAATTTGGCTGTCATTTAAAGAGAGGCGATGCTGAACAAAATGGTAACCCTGCTTATGAATATGCAAAATTTCTTCTGAACATAAAAGATATTACTTTACAAAATGGTAAGGCACTCATGATATCTGGATGGTGTTGTTGAGTTATGCAGCCCTCTCATTACTAGCATTTAAGGATGTTAATTGGCATTTTTTTAAGTAATAGTAAAATTTACATGGTAAGGTCTTGGAAAAAATACGAGCTGATAACGATGCATTTCTCCTTTTCTGAAACAAGGAAATTATTGCTAAACTGTACTAAAAGTAGCTTAATGTGTAACAGAACTTGAAAGAAATGGAATTCTGGGACCACCTCTGTAACATAAAGAGTAAAACTGCCATTTGCAGTGTCAGCATTCCGTGTGGGCACGTGTTGTCTGCTGCTGCACTTCCCATACAGCTTCTTGCTGAGTGCCTCGGAAAGCAGCAGAGGATGGCCCCAGTACTTGAGAGACCCAGAAGAAGCTCTTGGCTCCTGACATAGGACAGGTCGCAGATAGGGCTGTTGCAGCCATTTGGGGAGCAACCCAGCAGGTAGAAAGCCTCTCTTGTCTTTTCCTCTTTCTCAGTCACTCCACTTTTCAAATAAATAAATCATTAAATGAAAGTAAAACAGTATCACAGTGGTAAAGAAGAAGCTGGTGTTTTGGTGTCCTAGGTGGATTTTAAATCAGGCATAGACAAAATTAGAAGTGTAATTAGTAACAAAATGTAAAGATATGAGAAACGAATAAATAAGTAAATAAGAGAACTAGCTCCTGGAAGATCAGTATTTATCATGTTTCTTGGAAATCAAGAGTCAGAAAAATTTCCCAAACTCTTGACTGTGTGCAAATACATATGAATGTATATGCAAACTATACACATACACGCACTTGATACCCATATATTGTTTATAAAAGAGAGGAACTCCTTTCCTTTGGAAGATTAGAACAGCCACCCGCAGGGTTGTGTTAGTGTACACAAACAAGGTGAGTTCGGCTTCTGTATTTCAAACTGTGGGCATCTCAGTAGAGATTCATGTGTATTTGAAAGAGATGCATAATTTACAATTAATTTTGATGTGATAATCTCTCTCTCTCTCTCACACACACACACATGTGATTGAAAACCAACATGAACTCATAGTGGTTGGTTCTCTGTAACGATTTCTTCATGTTTTTATAAGGACTACCTTGGGAAAGGGTGCTGGGAGAGAAGGAAGACAAGAAAAACCCTTTACTCAGAATTTTGAAAATTGTCAGTGGGCTGGCAAACAGTACCTGCCATGGCAGGTGTCTGCTTTCTTGCTTAACTGGTGTGCCTTTCCGTTCAAGTGACATGTGTCCCTGTCTCTTCTAGAGCCTTTTATATTATTTGGTGCCAACATACCCAGCAGCTTCTACTGTGCACCAACGGACTCAATTCTTCCTTGGGAGGATCGGTTTTATCTCGTGGGGATGGTTTGTATAATCAGGAGTCACATCCTTAAGGTGAGTATGCTCCGTGCACATTGCACTCCCATTGTGGCTCCGCCAGAGCACAGTGTTGTTAAAGCACTTGGTGTGTGCAGTATGGTGAGCTAGAACGTGTGAGTAGGGTCAGCTCGCATTGCACACTGTGAGCGTTGCAGTGGAGAGTTGCACATTTGAAAGCTATGCACATTCACAAGTGCTTTTGATATAATATATAATAGACACATATGATCTGATGGTGGCTGGAATATACTAAAAGATTTTCTGACAAGCAGATAAAGTAAAAATTCTTTCCTAAAGTGAGTTTCGAGGCAGCATGTTTCCCCCCCAATTATCACTTGTTCAAAAGGCTATTTGGGTTCTTTGGATTTGTCAGTCATAGATACTGTCCCTGAAACGAAGAAGGAGTTTTTAGACTTCATCTGAGATATATGAGGTCAATTTATTTACTCATTCAGCAATACAGATAGTATTTCTTGTGATCCAAGTACTACTATGCTGGTGGCCTAGGACATACACCGGAGTGGTTGGGAGAAGAGGGAAACGTCTGAAGGATGAATCTTTGCTGTTGGCCTGAGGAAGTCACTGAGTAGAATGCCCATTAACTGATTTGAACAAGATGAACAGTATGGATTTGTCATTGTTGGGACAGAGCTCATACTATTATTGTGATGACATTGCGACATTCAACCCATCCAATCCTTTAAGAAGGGGAGCTGGATCAAGACCACTCGAATTGTTTCCCTGCCATCTGTGTGACCTTACACATGTACATTATTTATATTTAGTTTCTTTTTAATGAAAGATTATAGTGCTTTATTTTAGGGTTGGTGTGTCTTTGATATGGTAAACTTGATGAAAATTTTCCTGTCATTATCATGCTCATTAGCATTGTTACTTATCTTTAGCATCTGGTAACCCTCTGGAATTTAACCTCCATGTTCACCATGAGATTGCAGACATGTGATTTTGGAAGTTAAGCCCAGTATCTACTTCCTGTCCTGATAAACATGGAAAGTCTTACTTGACCTACCCTCTAGACCCCCTCATGGCCCAAGGAGCTCTGTTTTTGCCTACTCTGATTTCTCTCTGGGCCTCTAGGATATGTGTGCTATACTAATGAATAATTTTGACAAAGTCATCATGGAAGCAGAGTATTAGGGTGCACGTTTCTTTTTACAATATGACTGTGTAGCACAGTAGGAAGGACGTTGAACTCAGAATTCAAGCCTTTTGAAATTCTGATACTGGATCTACTGTCTTTGTGTCTTGGGAAAAATTGATGCATGTCTGTGAAACCCCAGTTTTTCCCGTCTGTGAAATCCAATGCCTTTCTCACATTCAGAGGGAGATCAGTTGCGACATTGAATATAAGCATGCCTCAAAAGTTAATAAATGCTCCACAAATATGAATACTTACCAAATGATATATTGTAAGTGTCTAAACATGCCAATATTTCTGCAGGAGATTTATACTAAAAGAGAAGCCGATAGAGATGCTCAAAATTCAAGTGATGACCATGCGACTTGCAGCGTCAGGTAAGAGTGTAATACAGACTCAGAATACATTTCTGTTAAAAAAAAAAAGTAAAATGAGAGAGAATTCTGTAGCTTTTTCATCAGAAATTTAAAAAAATCGAGTTAATTAAGATGACCAATACACTTGTCTGAACTCCCTGTACAAGTTAATAAAATTCATATTTTTTCCAACACAATATTAATATAAGTGATTGACTTTTTTATTAAAATGAACTCAAGTATTAAGTAGAGTGAATTTAACTTAGACATTTAATGACTTTCAAATTAATCTAGTACATGTAATATGATAGTTAATTTTTAGTTAAAAACATTTTTTATGGGATAGAAGCTAACATTCCACTATTTTAGATGGGGAAAATAAAAATGCATTTCTAACCCACAGGAAGGTATTGATCAGTTTGTAGGTATCACCAAAACACCCTTATATTCCTATTTAACTGCCTCCCAAGGTTTTCTGTAAAACAGAACATTTTTTGTAATGATTTGGATTTAGTTACTTAATACTTGATGAACTTACTAATTGGTTTGTTGATATGCAGTGAGCACAGTATTGTACAGTATACAGTGTATGGGAGCGTTTTCCTTTTACATGATCATTTACATATACTGGTAAATACATGATGAAATTGTGAATTAAAGATGTTCTTTATATGCCATCAGTAATATTTAGCAAAATATAATAGGTAAATTAGAACTTTGTATGATTTGTATCATTGGTGGTCATCTAGAAATGAGATGATGGTGAGAAGAGGGAACTTGAGGCTATGATGACTCCTGCTCTTTTAAAAAATGTGTTTATTTTTATTGGAAAGGCAGATGTGCAGAAAGAAGGACTAAGAGAAAGATTTTCTGCCCTACTGATTCATTCCCCAAGTGGCTATAATGGCCAGAGCTGAGCTGATCTGAAGCCAGGAAGCAGGAACGTTTTCCTGGTCTCCCACACAGGTGCAGGGTCCCAAAGCTTTGGGCCGTCCTCGATTGCTTTCCTGGGCCACAAGCAGGGAGCTGGGTGGGAAGTGGGGCCACCAGGACATGAACTGGCGCCCATATGTGATCCTGGATCTTTCAGGTTAAAGATTTAGCCACTGAACCATTGCACCGGGCCCAATGACTCCTGCTCTTTCAGACCAGGAGGAAGTAAAGGAAACCATATTGATGAAGGAACCATTAACCAGGAAATGCATGAAGTCCGTGCATGTTTAGATTTGAGGGAGGACAGGAGCCTTCAGAAGTGATTGGTTCCGAACCATTGTCTGAATCTGCATAAACCAAAGGGATGAAAGACACAACTCACGCCGCTGGCTGTTTGCATCCTCTTTGCTTGGGTAAACATAGCTCCTGCTAATCTGAGTGTGCATTTTTTTCCTTTTAAGATTTTTACTTATCAGTTTGAAACAATGAGGGGGAAAGAGACACACAGAGATCTTTATCCACGGGTTCACTCCCCAAATGGTTGCAACAGTCATCTGGTCCTCCTATGTGGTTGCAGGGGCCCAAACAGTTGGGTCATTCTCCATTGTTTTTATCAGGAATTTGAACCAAAAGTGGAGCAGGTGAGACTTGAACTGGTGGCCATTCAGGATGCTGGTGTCGGCAGGTGGTAGCTTTATGTGTTATGTTGCAACACCCGACTGCTGAGGGTGCATTTGTAAATGGATGTCAAATGTACAATATTTGTTCATGTCGTGCTCACATTCATTTGGATCAATGAGCTTTTTCTTTGTAGAAACCATGAAAGTCTGTACATCTTCATCATTTCGTTCATGCTTTGGAAGAGTTGAGACCAGCTAAATTCCTTGCAGTCTTAGCTACTTTCTCCATTGGTTACTTTTCTTACAAAATTTTTACTGGACAACTTGGGGAAGAGGATAGCTACAAGACATAAAATGTTTAAATAATGTGGACTCAAGACACTATCCTCAAAGCTGCAGGAGCAGTACACTTCATAGCCTTTTGCCTAGCCTGGCAGGACTTAATTCATCTGTGCCACCTAAAATGGCTTTATTGAGAAGATTTTGATAGTGCATTTGTGTAAAAAAAGTTGGCCCATCATGTTGGAAGTGAGAGTTCAGAGACAAAGAAATCCCAAAGAAAAAGATCTTATTTTAAAGATAATTGTAATTAGATGAAAATGTTCTGATGTACAAAGGAATCCATTTATTATATTTATGCCACCAGTGTTCATAGAATATATAGGAAAAGTTTTGCCTGAAGGCTAACAATCACCTGTAAGAAATTACTACTTCAGTGTGGATGAATACTATCATTTTATACATTATATACTTTCATAAAAATACTGTAGTTCATAGACTAGGCAATTTTCTGTTTATTGGAAAATGACACATAGGAAAAAATATGTTGTATTCATTGAAGAAAAATAAATTCAATTCCACGCATATTTCCTTGTCATATCCCTTCCCTTTCCTCATGTTCCACAGTCACTGGTCCAGCTCCATCGTCTTAGTTCTCACCTTATGGGTTATAGGTGCACCGCCTTACCCCACTAGCCTGAATTGTGTAAGGTAGGGCCTGTTCCTGTCATCCATGACTAGCACAGTCTCTTGAGTAGGCAGAAGTGAAGCCTGCTGCTTATTGATGGCTGATTGATGATATTTCAGTGATAATCCAGTCCATAAATCCAGATCTTGTAGATGTCGTGCGGTATTGTCATAAGGAAGCTCTGCTTCCCACCCAGCTCCCTGCTTGTGGCCTGAGAGAGCGGTAGAGGACAGCCCAAAGCCTTGGGACCTTGCACGCGTGTAGGAGACCTGGAGGAGCAGGCTCCTGGCTCCTGGCTTCAGGTAGGTTTAGCTCCGGCCATTGCAGCTACTTGAGAAGTGAACCAGTGGATGGAAGATCTTTCTGTCTGTATCTTGTCTGTGATTCTGCCTTTTCAATAAAAATGAGTAAATCTTAAAAAAAAAAAAAAGAACCTTTCTTCCAGGACATGTGTAGAACTCAGTAGCTGAGGTGTTTAGCCTTAAGGCACTGGGGGGAAATGGGGCTGCTTGATTGGATCACTGAAATGCAGAAAGAAGGAAGCGCTGCGTGAGAATCATTGAGGGGCAGTTGAAGAAGCATATAGACTGAGTGGATGCATGCTAGCCTCTGATCCTCAAGTCAGAAGTGATCAAGGAGCTGCTTTTTAGTTTTCCCAATTTTATGAGTCGGTAAGACCCAAATCCTTCTGATAGCATCAATTTTTCTAAAGATTTATTTTTTATTTGAAAGGCATAATTAAAGGTGTATATATAGAAAGCGGTCTTCCATCAGCTTTTTCACTCCTTAAGTGGTCCAGCATTCAGAGTTGAGCCAGTCTGAAGCCAGGAACTTCCTCTGGGTCTCCCACCTGAGTGAAGGGACCCAAAGATTTGACCATATTACACTGCTTTCCCAGGTGCATTGGCAAAAAGCTTGATCAGAAGCAGCCGGGACACAAACTGGTACTGGTGTCCATATGGGATGCCCATGCCTGCAGGCAGAGGCTTATCCTACTACACCAAGGTGCCAGCCCCTCATAGCAGCATCTTAGCATAAGTGAGCTTAATCTGTTATACTTCATGATGTGATTTCATGTTCATTAACAGTGTTTTGATATGTTTGCAAAGTGTAGAAGCATTGCACAAGAAAAACTTAATTGTAAAGAGGATGTGTGAATCACCTACATTTTCGTGGTTGGATGGACACTTGAGACATAAATAAGACCCAGAATACCCTGGGCTTATTCCCCTGAGGTCAGGTTTAGGAACTATGGCTGTGATTCAAATGCTTCTTGGAGAAACACATGATTGCGTGTGATTTCACATGAAATGAATGGAATATTCTTCACATGAAAATATTCCCATTTGAACTTTATCCATTGTAAAACAGCTAAATGTATGAGGATCAGAGCATTGCTGAGTCTTGTTCCTCTTTCAAGTCTTTTACCACGTAATTAATGCAGGAACTGAGCTTTATCAGTTATGTGACAAAAGCAATTAACCTACTAAAGGGTTTTAAAAGGAATTCAATAATCCAACTAGTTAAAACTCAGTTTGTTTTAAGTCTTCATTTGTCTGCATGTGTAAAACCATCTGAATGAATCTGTATGATGCAGATTCAGTTATGTGTTAGCTTCAGATATATCAGATATAAATCAAGTACTGATGTATGTATTATATGTATAAAACCACATAAAGTCATGCATCTCTACTTCCAAATCGAAGATGGATTCCCAATGAAATTGCTAAATATGTGTTGACAATAGGATGCCATTGTCCATATCTACAATGTCAGGCTACACTTAAATAGCAGAATGGACTTGTGACTGCTGTTGAAGGACTGCACTATTGTTATAATATAGGGGGAAACAGTGGGGTGAGGAGAGTGGAAGGGGAAATTCCTGAGCCTAAGCAGCAATACCATGAGAAATAAAGAATTAATAAATACTCAAACAAACAAAAGGAAAGTAAAGAATCTGTATCTGTGGCTTGAGCAAAAAGAAAAAATTTGGAAATAGAAGCATTACATTGATAAATTTGATTTATACTCACTGTGTTACCTTGTCATGGGTACCAGTCCTCTTTGTATTGTGCCCTGGAAGCAGTAAGGAGTGAAGTACTTAGAGTAGGAAAATGGAGAGAAGACTTCATTACTTCGCTAGCCATCCTGTCTTATTTTTCTGCCAGTCTCCTCCCCATCCGGGTACATGGCACAGGCACACACAAAAACATGCATGCAATTTATTTTCTTTGTCCTTTTTGGCCCTGGAGTAATGGCAAAAAAGAATTTATGGTCATTTTTGCAAAAACTTGCCGCTAAAGAATTGTCAAAATTTTAACATAGCTAGTGGTATAAGTAACTGGAAATAAATAGAAGTTCAAGTAGCATCCTCCTTGCATTCAGAGTATCTGAATAATATATTTTATCTACTCTATCAAAGACACTAAAGGACTAAACATGATCACTTAAATTTAAAAACTGTCTGGAAATAGCAAGCATTTCCCTGTTTAAATGCTGCA